ACTGGATACTACAAAGGCTCCGGGCCCTGACAACGTATCGGAAATAATACTGAAGACTTGTGCTCTAGAACTTGCCACACACCTGGCCAAGCCAATCTACTACAGACACAACATTGGCGCCTACTTGATAATGTGGGAAATTGCCCAGGTATGTCCTGTATACAAAAAACAGGGCAAATCCAATCTGGCCAATTGCCGCCCCATAAAGATACCTTTATCCATAAGTAAGGTGATGGAAGGTGTAATCGACAGTGCTGTCAAACAGCACCTGCTTAGCAACAACCTGCTGACTGATGCCCAGTTTGACGTCTGTCAGGGCCATTCAGCTCCTGATATCATTACAGCTTTGGTTCAAACATGGACAAAGCAGCTGAAGAGGTGAGGAGCATGTGATAGCCCTTGACTTCAAGACTGCATTTCACCATGTGGCATCAATGAGCCCAAGTAAAACTGGAATCAATCAACTCTCCACTGGGTGGAGTCATATCTGGCACTTAGGAAGATGGCTGTGGTTGTTGGGGGTCACCCACCTCTGCAGGATTGGCCCAAACATTTTCAGCTGCTTCATCAATGACATTCCCTCCACCAAAAGGACATAAGTAGGGAGTTCGCCAATGATTGCACAACGTTCAGCACCATCCGCAATTTCTCAGATACCGAACCAATCCATGTTCAAATGTAACAAGACCTTAAATATCCAGGTATGGGCTGACAAGTAGCAAATAACATTCACGCCACATAAATACCAGGCAACAACCATCTCCAATATGACACAATCAAACCATTGACATTCAATGGTATTACCATCACTGAATCCACCACAATTAACATCCTCAGTGTTACTTTTGACCAGAAACTCAACTAAAATGACCAAATAAATACAGTGGCCACAAGAACAGGTCAGGGGCTAGGAATACTGCAGCGAGTAACTCACCTCCTGAATCCCCAAAGACTGACCACAAGGCACAAGTCAGGAATGTGATGGAATATATCCTACTTGAGTGCAGCTCTAAAAACACTCAAGAAGCTTAACAGCATCCTGGACAAAGCAGCCTGCTTCACTGGCACCACATCCACAAACATCCACTTGCTTCATCACCAATGTTCAGTATCAGGAACATTACAGTGTCTATGATCTATAAGATGCACTGCCAGAAATTTGCCAAAGATCCTTAGACAGCACCCACCAAACTAATGGCTATTCCCATCTAAAAAGACTAGGGCAGCGGATACATGGGAACACAACCAGCTGCAAGTTCCCATCCAAGGCACTCACCTTCATGACTCAGAAGTATATCACCATTCCTTTACTGTCACAAGGTCAAAATCGAGGTATTCCCTCTCTAACGGCTTTGTTGGTCTTACAGCACATGGACTGCAGCAGTCCAAGGTGGCAGCTCACCACCACCTTCTCAAGGACAACTAGGGATGGGCAACGAATGCTGGCCAGCCAGTGACGCCCACATCCCACAAGAGAACTAAAAATAAGTTGAAGTGATTTCTGCAGCAACGAGGATCATGTGCAGACATGACCAACTTCACAGAATTTTAATGAAATGTCTACAATAGCGCCACAGCATTCACAACTTAATTGAAAACATTCTATCTGGTTTCATGGAAACTGTTAGTCTAGCTTCGTCCATGCTCAACATCGGTGGAAATGATTGCAAACCATAAGACTGGTAACATTATAAAGATCATCTAGCCTTTGTTCTAATGGGTTATGGATGCCCAAACTCCCTGGCATTGAAACAATGCTAAAGGACAGACGCATCATTGATATTTTTGGGTGTTGAAGGCTCAATCAGTGGAAATTTCAGATGTTAACACCAGAAGCTTCTGACATCAATGTAAACCACGAAAGGAAACAAATTCATGGCAGGAAAACGTTTGAATACAAAGGGTAGCAACAGTTGTAAGAAATAGCAAAATTACCTAATGACCATCAGCAAATGTATAATTATTTTGTAAATTTGCATGCTAGTGGATTATATCATACGGACGTCTACAACTCATCTTCAATTTGGTTGATGTTAGTTTTAAATATCCTTGAAAGATACTTGATGTATTGCAGATGGAAATAATAGCTGTGAATATTGCAAAGGTGCCACTCAACAATGGCATGATGATTTTCGAAGATTAAGCAGCTCCTTTCCTCTGTATACAGTTGATGTGCCTTTACCTAAATTTGTGTGGGGCTTCATCTCCTCAGTTAACTGGGTACCTCTAACTTCATCAGGATATTGTTGGACTGCACTTTCTTTCTCTCACATTTTGCAATTGTAAGATCAAATATTTTTGCATAGTTACGCTGCATACAGCTTGGTGGCCTTGAGCTGTCTAGGCCAGGGTTTGCTAAAGCAGGGTTTGGAACCGCATTGAGGTTGAAAGCTGAAATTTTAGGTTCACAATTTCTGAGGTAGCAATGGCTGCCATGGTGCTCCAATTCAGTTAAAACAGCTCTACCCCCTCTCTAACAAGCCCCTACTCTTATACCCACCTTTTCTCCATTCTCACAGTTCTCCATGAGAAATTGTGACAATTTTCAAGACTTGAAATGGGTCACAATGGGAAATGATTTGGGAAAGACTGGTCTTGGAAATGAAAATGGGACTTCAGCATACCAACGATCTGTTCAATAATACTGTATGAAGTATACAAAACTTTACTAAATCTGCTGTCACCATCTGTCCCCTGATGATGGAGTAACATTGTCAGTTCGGTTGAGGCGGGTAGCCTTGGTCTCCAAGCAACTGTCCTGACACATTGCTCTGACAAAAAATTGCAGGGGTTTTTGACTGTCAGAGAACGAAAAAAAGTCATAGTTTGAGAGTAGCATGCAGTCTCGTACAGAATGACGATGCAGTATCGTATTGACAGGATAGCAAACTAGAATGAGCATCACCAACAAGCTGAATCTTCATTGAATAAGTGTCTGGGAACATTTCACTACATCAAAAGTGTAGCAATAAAACAATAAAAATTGTTGTTGCGAAAACACTTCTTGTTTAAACTCAGTGCATGTATTGTCCGAACTTTTAGTCAAAACGCCTGGCATAAATATCACTTTGAACTTGGCAGAATCAAGCTACTTGATAATCGTTGAGTTTTCAATGTTATTGCTTTGGTGGGTTCATAATGAAGGGTATGAAATCTGGAACCACTTGAGCAGGGTATCCATCAGCTGTTGAATGCAGTGATATAATACTGTTTAACTAACATGATCCAAGACTACTGAAAACATTAAGCAACATAAAAATTCATGCTCAGTCAACGCTGTGCTCCTAATAGAAAAAGGCAGCAGATTTAGCGCTGACAGCAAGCATAACTGCATTCAGGAGAATATCAATGTCTTTGGGAAAATCCATAAATGATTTCCTTACTATGAACACTTTCTGGCATATGTGCAAGGTCCTTCAAGTCTACTGTACCACTCAATAAGGTCTTTGTTGATCTGATCATGTCTTCATCTCCAAGTTCCTTCCTGCCCCCATTAGGATGGGCTCTCTTGTCAAAGAAAAATCTAACTCAACCTTGAAAATGATCAACAAAAGAACTTTCATTTTTCTCCAGGGTAGTGAATTTCGAAGATTTACCATCGTCAGGGAAGCATTCTACCTCATTTCTGTCTTAAACGGGAAACCCCTCATTCCAGATTACTCCACAAGCAGGAACAATTTCTCAGCATATAGGAAGCATGGTTAGTAAATTGGCAAAATTGGTGGTACAGTAGACAGTGAGGAAGTTTATCTAAGGTTACAAAGGGATTGTGATCAATTGGGCCAATGGGCCGAGGAGTGGCAGATAGAGTTTAACTTAGATAATGGGAGGTGTTATTTTTCTATTTGCAAGTACTTACTTCCCCAATATTAGACACAATGAATGTTCCTGAAATTGTCTTACAAGAAAGTGCTAATGAAACTCAAGAATTATGTATGAAAATATTGCTAACACTTACCAATCTCAGTAGTTGCTAAAAGGTAAAGATGCCTTAGTCTCAGAGGATCACAGGGCAGCTCTTTCAGTATAGAGAGAGAGAGATGACTCGTGGTGGTTTAAACTGAGTGTCACCACACCTCACATGAGTGGAGAGGTTGAGAAGGACAGTCCTTCATGGTAACCTCAAACAGTGCAGGAATTGAATCTGCGCTGTTGGCATCACTCTGCATCAGAAACGAGTCTTCCAACTAACTTAGCTGACCAACGAAACACTGAAAATTCCTGAATAATACCAGATATAAATGTATTTATTGTAACATTAATGTGTTATGCTGGTATTCTACTGGTGATATCCATCAACCCAGCTACACAGATCACCTATAGCTAACACAGCGTGGAGCTGGAGGAACACAGCAGGCCAGGCAGCATCAGAGGAGCAGGAAAGTTGACGTTTTGGGTCGGGACCATTCTTCAGATCACCTGGCAAGACCTTGTAAGACACAGTTCTACTTAATCAAAAAAGGCAGTCAGGTTTCTTTGATTGTTAGACAGAGTGGAAATTAACAGGTATTTGACTATGCAGCATCACAAGTTATGACTTCACTCTTAAGTTAGTCTTCACTAGCTTTGTTCTTTTAGAAAAGGAATAAAGTAACATAACATTGAAAATATTGGTAGATATTTATAAATTAACATTATTTGGTTACCCTGTCTTGTTTAAATTTGTTAAACATTGTTTATTAAGTTCTCTATTTCTGTACTTTAAGTCACTCTGAGAATCCAAATCAAGCCCCTCTATCACTTTTTCTTCAAAAAGAAATTTTGTTCAACATGTCTCTGTTCAGAATTCCAAGTGCAAGAGCATTCTTGTATATTCTCCCTAAATTCCATAGCACTGGAAAAGTTCAACTAAAGGTTTTAAAAAACTACTTTAATGTTATAATTCCAGAATAATTACAAATTAAAATTCTAACGAATGTGAACCCAATTTAGAATTCAAGATATACTCGACAACATCTCTAATGCAAGATACAACAGCATCAAGCAATTATTTTACAAACCTGGTATGATTACATCAGGTCCATTTCTTGAACTTATTTCAGTAAACTCTCTCAAAATTTTTGCAGCCTTCTTGGCTTCAGATTTCAGATTTGACGGAATTGGATTCACTGTAAATAAAGCAGTAATTTTATTAGCAAGGCTATTTGCAACATGCAACATTTAAGTTATTGCAAAACCTGTAATACAATGTTAGCACTTCACGGTTTACATTACATTTTTTTAAATAATATTTATCCATCAAGTTTATTTTGGAATTTTATTTGCAGCAGTGACAATTTATAATACCAAAGCAGAGTTTTTTTTCTAAAAAAATGAAATTGCATTAATTTTGAGTGGAACAGATGTTTGTGTTCCACTTGATATGAATGTATTCCAAATGATTCATCAAATTCACAGAAATACTTCATAATATTGTAAAACCCAAACATTTCAAAAGGCTATTTTTTCTGCTTTGAAACATTGTCTCACAACATAATAAAATGCAATTTGGCTATACTGAATTGCATAAACTAAATTCTATTCATAAATCAGTCAAGCAAAACTTCATTTTTTCGAACTTGGAGACAGTAAGGACTGCAGAAGCTGGAAACTAGAGTCAATAATGTGGAGGTGGAAAAGCACAGATCAGACAGCATCCAAGCAGCAGGGAAGTCAATCCTGACAAAGGGTTTCAGCCTGAAAGGTTGGCTTCCCTGCTCTTCATGTGCTGTGTGACCTGCTGTACTTTTCCAGCTCCACATTTATTGGCTTCATTTTTTCTGACTCAGTTTATCAGTTGAAATGCACTTAAGTTGAATTGCATTGCATAAATATACAATATTGGATCACTAGATCCTGTAGGAAGGTTCTTCCACACAGCACAGGATGTAACTCCTGTGTGCTGGTTACAAAATTCCCCACTGAAATCAACATTCACTTTAAAATGAATATCAACAGCACAAAAACAGTTCAACCATCTGTTTCTCAAATGTTTTCCTATCACTTTTAAAGAGACAAATATTATAAACCAAGTGTGCAAATGGTGAAGAAATAGTTGTTCCAGTGGATTAGAGCACTGCATGAACCCATGACAGAAGCAGGATCAAAACTGAGTTCAGACTGACGGAATAAAAATTTGTGACTTCTCTCGCAGCAAGGTCTCACCTAAAATAAGCATGAACAGTTTTCTCCCAACCTACACCAAAACACGTTTATCATAAAATTTTTATACCATTCAAATGCATACTTTGAAAGATCATAAGGATAAATAAAAAAATATTTTCATTGACGTTAGACAGAATGATTTGATAGGGCAGGATGTGGTTGCCTGCAGGTTAAGCACGAGTGAAAGTGAGGAATTGTAACCTTACACCATGTCCATTTTGCATATGACTCTAGAGTACTGAGGTCTGCAGTCAGCAACAATGTGAAATGTTCGACACTTATTCAAGTTAAACCGTCAACAATTTCTATCCTGGGCCAGAGAGAATTCACGACTGCAAACCTGGCATTTCCCATTCCACATTTTCTAGTTCAGGGTGGGAGGGGAAACAAGACCAAATTGGAATTTGGACTGGGCAGCCAGGGAAGAGAAGTTGGGGCTGCTGAGTTCCAAGGTGGCTAAGCAAAAAACCTGCTTGGGCATTATAGCACAGTATGCAAAATTAAATAGTTTAACAGAGTAAAACATAGTTGGACATTTCTCCAACTATCACTCCTCAGACCTCTCTCATCTCCACACACTCGCCATGTACCATTCATGCTAACCCATGCCACCTAATACCCTCTCTACCCATCTCCCATGGTCCCGCTTACCTCTGAAGTCAAATTAGAGTTAACTCATGCCAATTCATTGTTCCAACCACCAACATTTCCCCCTTCATCTGTCATGGCACCTCACAATATCCATGCAGCGGGAGAAAAAAAAAGTCTAGATCTTTTAAAGTTCTATTTTACAGAGAACACTCCATTGAGAAAAACATTTTCATTCATAAAAGCACATTTTGACAGCTCTCCACAGATTTGATATTTTTTGAGAGACTGAACACATCTTGAGAGGTTTGACACTTCTTTTACTGTTTGACAGTTCCAAGGGATTCACACACCTGTAAGGTACAAATCTAAAAATCTAAAAGGAGACCTGAAACCAATCTCTGTAACTCCCTGCCCCCACACCCAAAGGGTACCTGATATCCGAACCCTCACCACCATTCGGCAAAGATACCTGGCCTGACTCCCCTCCCCTCAAGGGTAATTGACCCTCCCATCACAGCATAGCTGACAAATCTGACCATTCCAATGGGTACCTGACTTACTCCCCAGCCACCTCAGCAATGTTGTCCTATGACTATATCCATTGGAGAATCCTATCTTTCCATATAAATTCACAAAGTCCATATGTGTTCTTTGCAGGCGTACGCTCTGGCCATGCTACACGCATGTGAAAACCACAGTGATTTAAATACCTAGTCAGCTCCATAAAATGTGCATGACCAAAACCAGGCTGGCTGTACTCCTGCATACACAAAAATGGGATTTACTGAAGTAGTGCTTGCTGTGTCAGGCAATTTTCAACATTTGCGCCATCAAGGAGAGCTGCTTCAATGTGGCAAAAATCTGGGTGATTGTAAAGCAGCAAAGAAAATCTTAAATGATATGCAAAAACAAAATATTCCACATGCTCAAAATTCCAAAATAAAAGCAAAATGTTTGGAAATAGTCCCCTGGTATTCAGGACCTGTGGAATGTAAAAAAACAACAAAGTCCGCTTTTCTCTCTACTGCTGATGCTTGACCAATTGAATATTTCCAGCACTTTTTGTTTTATCATAAAATAATAGCCCGTACTCAGACATTTTGTTGAGAGTAGAGCGCTTTCATCTTTGAAAGCACATGATAAGTAATCTCTTAAACAAACCTGCAGGATCCCTGGCTTTCTAAATAGAGGCAAGGAGTACAGAAACAAAGAAGTTACGTTAAACTTAATTACCAATTAGACCTTTACAGAATGTTCAATCTTGGGCATCTCATTTTAGGAACTGTCTCAAGACTTTACAGAAGAAATTTATCAGATTGGCTGAAGGAACTTCAGCATTCGGAAGAAATTAGAGAAATGGATTGTTCTCCTTAGAGCTGAGAGGTTTTAACAGAGCTTTCCAAAATCATGCAGGGTAAATAAGGAAAAAATACTTCCAGTGGCATAATGGTTGTTATCCAGAGGACACAGATTTAAGAATGATTGATGAACCAGAAGTAAGCGGAGGAGAAATTCTTCAACCAGTGAGTTATTTGAATAAATATTTGAAGGAGGAAGATTTGCATAGTTTGGGGAAGGACACGGGACATGAATGGATTGTTCTTTCAAAATTAGTCCAAGGAGCCTCCTTCTGTGCCGTATGATTATATAAATTTCAGACAGACACATTTTACTGGAGCTGTTTTCAACAAAGCTTTGGATAGAAGGATTTATAATGGAAAACAAAAATAAGAAAAAACCTCTCAAATGAAGGCTATGGAATTGTAATATATAAATGTATACATTCCAATAAATAAATACTAGCTGCAACAGTATTCAGAAGGTTGTGGATTCAAACATTACAAAAGAGTCTCCATTGCATAACCTTAATGAACACTGCAGAATAAGGCTGCAAAATTTTACAGTGACCCCCATTTGTATTTAAAAGATCAAGCAGCCCTATTAGAAGCTGAAAACAGAGTTTTCCTGATCAGTGGTAATCTGTTGACATCACTAAAACAAAAATTATCTGATTTTCATTCTTTGTGGGAACTTGCTGTATACAAATTATTTATTCCTTTTCACTGCAGCACAGTAGTGATTGCACTTCAAAAGCACATAATTGGCTCTAAAGTACTTCGGGGGAATCCTGTAGTTGTAAAATGCTAAAACAAATTCATTTTTTTTCTCTCATTTTGTATACACAGTACAGTAATTATGTCTCCTTTGCCCATGAGTTCATAAAGCACAGGATCAAAGGCTGTGAAATGAGTGCATGTCCAAATCAGGAAGCTGACAGTCAATGAAAATAGTTTTCAGTCACAGGTGCTAGTTATACTTCCATAGGCAATTCACCCAACCAATGAGTAAGTTCCAGGAAAGGAAATGTTAGCAAGATAAAGATAGTGAGTGTCCAATTCTCCAAACACTTCCTCACTCCTCCAGGGTACCTTCCCACGCAATTGCATGGATGTAACATTTGCCAATTCACCTTCTCCCTCTTCATTGTCCAAGGCCTCAAACACACCTTGCAGGTGAAGCTATTTTACTTGTACTTCTTTCAAGTTACTCTACTCCATTCACTGCCCACAATGTGGTCTCATAGAGTCATAGAATCATAGAATCATAGAGATGTACAGCACAGATACAGTCCCTTCGGTCCAACTCATCCATGCTGACCAGATTTTCTGGACCCTTTCAAGTTTCACAAAATCCTTCCTATGGCAGGGTGACCAGGATTGCACACAGTATTCCAAAAGTGGCCTTACCAATGTCCTGTACAGCCACAACATGACCTCCCAACTCCTACACTCAAAGCACTGACCAATAAAGGCAAGCACACCAAACACCTACTTCACTGTCCTATCTACCTGCGACTCCACTTTCAAGGAAGTATGAACCTATGTTCCAAAGTCTCTTTGTTCAGCCACACTCCCCAGGACCTTACCATCAAGTGTATTGGTCCTGCCCTGATTTGCCTTTCCAAACACCAAATGTATCTTATGATCAAGCAAGGGATTACTAATGTTTTTTGACAATGTATGAAATCCCAGGTACCTTCTAGGAGAGTAAATGTTACTTTCATTGAGTGATGTACAAGAACAGGCAGATCCCTTTGTACGTTTATGCTTTGCTTTATACTCTTCCTTTCTGTTGTTCGCACCAAAGTGTATAATGTCACATTTGTCCACGTTATATTGCATCTGCTCTGTGTTTGCCCACACACCCAATATGTCTTGATCACCCTGGAGCTTTCTTGCATCCTCCTCACAATTCACAATCCTATCTAGTTTTACAGAAAAGGAGAAAAGCTGGAAATGACAGCGGGTCAGGCAACATCCGTAGAGAGAAAGCAAACTAACTTTTCGAGTCTAGATGACTCTTTATCACAGCT